AGGTATTTATAGTGAGTACGCTCTTGCACGTCAGTTGTACGTGTTATAACATCCCGCCATGAATCACTCATTCAACCTGGTTACGGGAATTTTGCATAATTACACACAACATTACAGTAAAGATTATTTACTAGTTTACTAGACGTGCAGGTCCCGGCATAGCATAGGCCAACCCTTCCTTACTTATGGGTATCGTAAGAGGGGACTAACGGAGCTTATGGTGGAGGGATGGGCGACAGCGTCCCTCTTAAAATATAATTGAAAGTCAAACTGCGGTTGCCAACTCGCCTGCCAAGTGTGGCAATTATTGGCAAACCCCCCCTTATTAGGGAGGCTATGTTCAGCAGTGGACAGTCAAGGCCTTATAAAATAACTAGTTAATAAAACTCTTTCTGCCAAAAGATTGACGAGCAGTGTGGTTCTATCTATCTACTGATACTGAATTTACTGCCATAGAGTGATTTAAAATTCTATGCTCATACCTTTAGGTATAAACTTAATAATTGTACATAATAAATCCATATGACCTCTTCGGGAGAAAGAGGATTGACGTTATAAATCAAGCTCCAAGCGGTTTTCCTTGAAAACCATCACGGTTAAATCCTGATGAGTTCGTCACATGAGCCAATTGACCCTACCATTCCTCAGCGGTTCCCCACCGACGTAAACTAAAGACGCAGGTGGAATTACTATTCCATTGATATGCATTTAAAAACAAATTCGTTATATTGTAGAAAAATTATATAGGATTGGCAGAGGTTATATATTAATTGCTATATTTAAGTTAATTGTAAAAAAGTAGATAGTGTGACCATCTACCCATATTAAATTGCTTACTAATCGCTTTTAACATTGTCTGTAATTATTTAAGAACCCGTTTGTTGAGTATTTATTTAATTAAACTCTAGTAATAATAATGATCATCTCAGCCATCGTCTACTTCTTGCTGAACATAGGTCTACTCCATAGACTGTCATAAGGAATGGTCCTGAGCCATCTGCATCCACTGCAATGCATTTGAGGTCGCCACTTCATCTAATGGAGGGTTATTCTACACTGCGTTTGCCTTTACGGGGTCACCACTCAAGAACCTTTCTTCCTTTCTTTCTTCCTTTCAGCTTAATTATCCTTCGGGCTATGTCGATGACTTTGGTTCTTTTACAAACATCTTTATTTCGGATTCTGTTACGGAAACTCCAAGCTAGCATTTTCCATAACTTGCTAAGTTATTTGAAGCTTTTGCATATGAGAACTTTTGCATAGGACCATGTTTCGAATTTTTTTATTTGTGAAAATGAATTAGTGAGTCCACCTGTACTATCTGTATACACTGGCGAGGAACCAGTGAATAACGATAGGTGAGGATGAAATCAGGTGAGTGGGCCCATCGTGACAAATTTAACTTTAACCACGGTAGTTTCCAGAGAGAACCGCGTGGAGGTCGACCTAATAGGGTATATTGCTAAAAAAATAGTTATCATTACTGGCAACACGCACTGGTTAAAGACCTTCATCTTCAAACTTTCAGGTATTTTGGATGAGAAGATATGGTGTAGTTTTCCGAACGCTGCCTAGCCGAGTTGGATTCGTTGGTTGACCTCTTGGTCGAACTTGGACTTACATAGTCGGACAAGTTGTCCCATATATACTGACAACTTCAAACGTAGTGTCCTCAATCATAATTGGTATAGATATGATATGGACGTTAGACATGATTTTAGTTTTATCCATGTTCATCTTAAGACCTACCTGTTGAGAAACATCATTGAAGTCATTGAGCATAGTATTCAAGTCCTCCAGGGATTCCGCCATGATTACTATATCATCGGCAAACCGAAGGTGACTGATGTGTTCGCCATTGGAAGCAGTTCTTGTATGCCTATGTTTCAGAGTGAAGAGTGGGATATGACAGTAAAATTACAGCATGCATAACACCGTAGTCATCACGAATAGCAACGCGTGAAAGGTATTATGGTGATACCCATGGTACTTCTCACGTATTGCTGTTCTTATTTCAGAGTATTATGTGACATCCATGATGATGTTCATGTCTATAAGCGACGGTTATCGCTTTCCATCAGGTCGACCGTTAGCTTGTTTGGCATTCTAAGTGTTATAAAAAAGTGTCCATAATAACAACAAAAGAGGTATAGATGGCACCAAAACAGACTTTATTCTCTTAATAATATCTTCATGATGACATGATTTTGTTAAATACGTGTGTGGAGGATAGCAAGGTATCCATTATTTTTCCCTTTAAATGGTGTATGAAGTTTACAGGCGTTCCATGGCATACGATTCTTACTTCAGAACACGTGTTTTCAAATATTTCCTGATACATACAAGCTTCTATTCACTATCTAATGAATACCATTAACTGTAAATAAAGATGCTCCTCTCCGTCATAGGCTCTCCATTCATCTCCTTAGTTAAATAAATAATTTATAGACAAATGTATTGCTCTACGTTCAGAAGCTTTTAAATCCGAACACGCATTTGCCCATTTGATATATGTAATAAAAACTTTTCTTTCTATTTGTATATTCTTAGCTTCTACTCATAATGTATCATAAAAGTATGAAAACTATTTTTTGATACGTCAATAACAGACTAGCAATTGCTTAGTCGATTTTGTATAGAATTTTGTTATTTATATATTTTTAAAGTAACCTTGAGCTTTCTCCCATGAGAATTAGATATTTTACCACAATAAAAAATTTATATTATGTTGAATAAGTTATTAAATTGTCACAACAAAAAATTACATCAATATATATATATATATATATATATATATATATATATATATATATATATATATATATATATATATATATATATATATATATATATATATATATATATATATATATATATGTTTGTTTATATTATATCGGCTAACCCGACAAACGTTTTGCATCTACCGCCACCTAAGAAGGCCATTTTTCTCATCAGAATAATAAGTATAAAAAGTACCTTTATAGCCTTTAACAAAACAAACGGTATATATCCACAGAAATTTATTAAAATCGCGTTAAGCGTTTTTAAAAATTAGCGTGAACGAATATTGTGGCACGGGATTTTATTAATATTAATCAGGCAGATTGCCAACTAAAAAACGTGTATGCACTTTTGGTAACTTCCCATTAAAATTTCTTAAGATATTTGTTCTTATTTTACCATTTATTTATTCTTGACTAATTAATTATTATTAATCTTTTCCAAATTCTGATTAGATTATTTTACCTACAAGTAATTATGTAGGATTGAAATGAAAAATAATACTGAATATATTAACATATAAATTAATAGAAAAATTATGTCTTTTATTAAAGTTGATCCAATTGTAATGTAAAAAAAATATTTGTCAATTGCAATGTAAAAATGTTAATAAAATATAAAAAAATATACTTGAACCACTATTATGTAATTGAATAAATGGTTAGTTAACTTGTATCTATAATGAACGAGTTTATACTTAGATCGTCTGAGTAAATATTAAAATGGTATAATTTTAAACCAGGAAAATGCTCTCGAAATTGTACCTGGGTGAAGGCGACCCAGTAAAATTACAGAAGGTCCTCTATTACCTTCTATCGTTAACTCGCATTCTAAATTACATTAATTCGATTATTTATTTATTATTTTAGTTACAAAGTTACTAGTAAATCTATGTTGAAACAAAAGATTTAAAAAAAGATATATATATTCTTTATGATTGTAATCTCATATAACATACATGTATAAATTTACTGAAATTGTACGACTATAAATAATATGCGACTGAGATAAAGTAAGAATTTAAAATGTTCTTAATATTTAATAAAACTTTATAAAGATGTTTGTATCTTTATATATTTTAATGTCTTTTATACTTACGCTGAACAAATTAGAATAAAATTTGGTACACAAATAGACGAACATCATATTTAACACATAGAATAGCTTTATTCGAAAAACTTCTCTACTAGTTGTCTTACGAAGGCAAAGTTGTGGGATGAGACTAATCTATCTATACTAATATCTTGTAAAGAGGAAATATTTGATTTTTTGTTTGTTTGTAATAAATAAACTCGAAAACTACTTAATCAATTTTAAAATACTTGTCACCTGTAGAAAACTATATTATTAGCGAGTTAAATATATTATTTCAAAAAATTAACGATCTCTACGCGATTTAATTACAATTGTGTACCCATTAAAACTAATATAAAATATTAATTTATCTTATCTTATCCGTACAAAGCCGGGGGCGCATCGCTAGAAGTGAATATTTACAATAAAACATTTTTAATTTATATTCATTATATATTTAGGTAAGTACCTAACGTACCTTCGTTCACGTATAAAGAAATTATCTCATTGTACTTAAGCTATATTTAATATACCTACTATGCCCGCGAACATTAGGAAAAAAATTAAGTAATAATTGTCTGAACATAATCACTTAAAAGAAATATTATTGTTGTCTACAAACCTTTACAGTAATAATATTAGTAAAAAATATTCAGTGTTAATAGAATAAAAGTCTTTTGGATAATGTTTTCACTATAAAATATGAAATAAAACGTTCTATTGAATCCAATTTAAAATAAATACCTATAATTAGGCCTACAAAAATTATTGATATGTTTTAATATTGGGGATTTTTTACGCGATCACTTTATTAACCATATTTAATATACAGGCGAAAATATTTTATTATATTTTTTATAATATTTTGAACTGGAAAAATTTAAACAGCAATAAATTAATAAGTAATTTATAATTAATATGTATTTATCTAATTTCACAATCTATAATAAATATTTATATTCACCTAATAGTTACATTAAATTTTTAATAATAATAAAAATAAGAATCGAAGCATAAAAATTCAAATGCAACTAAGATGGCAATTAATATATTAATTTTAAGCATTATATCTGATACGCTCAAGATAAAAAAATATTTAGATAAATTACAGCTGATATATCTACACAAATAAAAGAATCACTCACCTCGTTAAACAAGTTTTATATCACTAAGAACATAATTTCACGGTCACTTAGTAGAAATATTTAATGTTTAATTTTACACAAAAAAAAAATTTTTAGATTTTACTTTAACTACATTAAATTTCAGTTAAAACATTGCTCGTCACAAATTAAATTAAAATATTCTACTGTATTAGCGATACGTGCGAATCGCTCGATACGATCCTTTCGGCGATAGCCGCGGATGCGTACTGTCCGCGCGGAGGCATTCACGGGACTCCTATAATCTTTATAAACACTCGCCCTTACAAACTTTTAATTAATAATTATACATTCTAGTTTTCACAAGATTTCAGCAGCGACTCAATGCACCGCTTCGCTATCGGAAACATCAGCTAATGCTTATTTCATTCGATGCTCTTTGTTTATTTTAGTAAATCCAAAATAATATTTACATTGGAGCTCACAGTATACAGTATACTGAATCTAATATAAAACAAGATCGTACATCCATTTACATCTATAAAGCCCCACATTAGAACAAGAGGTTTATATGATACGAATCATAAAATGTATTTTATGTTGTTAGAATACAACGTGTTGGTTTGTAAAACCATTTTAAAAGCTTTTTCTTTCAAGTTGTGTATTTACTTTACTATTTCTATATATATTATTTATATATTTTATTTATATCTATTTCACTATCAAAACATACAGAATAAAACCGGATATCATCTATAAGATTCTTACTACTAGATACTGGTGACTTACAATTTCGAGTAGATTTAACAAGATTTTTTCCGGATAAGATGGGTGTAGGTATATGTCATGTACGATTATAATAAATGCTTATAAAGATATTTAAATGATTCTTTAAAAGTAGCTGAATCCTATGACATCGCCTGTAGTTGTGTCATGATGTTGAATAATCAATAATTTGTGTATATATCCTTCAAGAGATAAGCTATCAATCTAAAAAGAATTTTTAAAATCCGAACTGTACTTTTAGATATTAGTGCCTTCTAACAAATTTCGCATTTTTTTATTTTTTTTTAAAGATGAACTATTAATATGCAGAAACTACTACACCAAATTGGACGCGGTTTTCATTTGTTGTTCTGAAGGTCGAATTTAAAATCTGGTTCTATAAATATATTTTATATTGATACGCCATCTAAAAATGTTATATTTCATTGGTCACTTACACAATGCACGCGTACATAATTGCCGGTAAAAGCTAGATAGTTTTTTTTTTTTTATATAATTATCACTAAGCTGCCATAAGCTACATAATGAATCAAAATATCTACATAATTATTAAACATTTGAGCATTTACTAAATAAAAACTGAATAGATTTTTAATTGGACGGAGTGGTTTACCAATTTTTGCAATTGATAGCGAACTGTATAGAACAAAATCAAAATCAAGGAATGTTCTTTCAATGAAATTGAACAATTTCCCAAAGAAACAACGCCAAAAAATTGAGCCCCTGTACAAACAGGCTAATAGTATAGGTAATCTGTCAGGTGAACTCCAGACGATCTCTACAATGGAATGGAATCCTGAGTAATTCTGCTGAATTAATTACGATTGGCTAACTGACTTCATTTCATCCTCGCCTATCCGCCTCTCACTGGTATCCCGCCAGCGTATAACGATAAAGCAAGCGTACAAAGTTGTAATTGTAGTTGTCGTTCCGTTATTATTAATTAAAAAACTTGCACGTTCATTTGTCAAATGAGTATAAGAAACTTTAACAAACATATTTAAATACATTGTTTTGTAGACGTCCAATGTTTATATTAAAAAAAATAATAATACACTCGTCCAATTTACAAATGAAAAAATAACAACTAAATCAATACATACTCAAGAATATTAATGGAAATGGAAACTAAATGGAAGCTCATTGTTGCATTCATGTAATCAATTCATTCATGCTTAAAAAATATATATATATATATAAGTCACATTATATATATATATATATATATATATATATATATATATATATATATATATATATATATATATATATATATATATATATATATTCTAACACACTAGATAAAAAAAGACATCATAACCAACAGAGTTGCATGATGTTTTAACTTTAAAATAATAAATTATCTGTTGAGATTCTTACATTTATCTAATATTTACATCTAGTATGCGTAGTTAATCTACGTTCTAAACTACTACGGACTACTAATCGGTCACTTTGTTTGTTCTGCAAATACCTATCATCATTTCGGATTCTACCACAAAGAAGCGCCGAGCAATAGTTCTAGTTCTTATGCTTTTTATTCTTGTTCTTCTTCTTATTGTTCTAATTCCTATTCTTCAATAATTCTTTCTATAAGTAGTTGAGCGATTCGATTCTCGCACATCATTAGCGGGAAATACACAATCATTAACGTCACAAATTGATGACACGTGTGTCTCTGTGACGCTACTTCATTTTATTGATTATTCATTCATGAATCAAAATAATATAATACATATGAGACAAAAGAGATTTTATCCCAATTTGTGTGTACAGGCTTATACACATAAGAATAATTAGGTCTTATGACCTCATTATTCTTATGGTATAGGTAATTTTAAAAATACGAACATATCAATATTTGTTTGTTTGTCATCTCAGTGGTATAAAAAAAAAACAAACACTTTCTTGATTTATCAAAAAGAGAAGTTTTTGAGTATCAAATAATTATAACTAGATATATTGTCTATGAATAAATTGAAGGTATTTTTTCACAGTTTCTAATATAATGAAGAAGAAATTGAGGAGAGAACAAAATTGGGGTTTAAAATTAATCTTGTATTATTTATCAGGTATGCACGATTAATATGTATTATTATTATTATTTATTAACTTCTGAAGTCACTTTGAAAATTATTCAAAATGACTTCAGAAGTTAGAATTCTTACTCCAACTTCTCAAGTCCCCTTGAATTGAGAAGGATTTGTTAGTATTGGGGATTTTAGTTTCCACTGCTAACAAAACACCTTATCAGATCGACATCCACACGGTTCTCCTGGAGACCATCATGGCCAATTCTTGTTGAATTCACCAAGATGAGCCAAACAGCGTATACAATAGCGCAAGTGGGGTTATCATTCTATCTCCATTCTTAAAAAAATCACCTTGAATCATGTAGCTATATTTAAATAAAGTATTCTGTTCCTTTTTTGAATGACTCTCTTTCAATACATAGTCTCAAGTTATTAATAGATAGTTTAACATATTATTAAAAGCAATAAGCCTAATATAAACAAAATACTGGAGAGAGCACGGTACACCCGGCCTCCCTTACTCATAAATACGGCTAATTATGTGATATAATAAATAGATTATAGCGCCTACTAAACAAATTAGACAATATCAAGCAAACATTTTTAAAATTATTCTATCTTGAAATTTTCTAATGTGATCCACTACATCACTCAAAAAAAATGTTATTTTATGCTATGGTAGTACTCTAAAGTTCTATAATTTTTTTCTTTATGATTTTTAAGTTTTAGGTTACAAGTCGAGTAAGTAACTGTTAGTTTAGCTACTAATTCTAAACTAGTCCCTCGACTTATATATACATAATTTCTAAAATACAAAAATAATAGAAGAAAATTTACAATTTTCACGTAACATTCAAACAGTATACAGTATATCGTTAAAAAGGTGACAAAAATAAAATATGCTAATGGGTTTATATGGGGTAGGACTATACTTTGTCCAGCATGTGGACTCCAATAGAAGCGAGCCTACCGTTGTCACCGGTCACCAGTTATATTAAGTTTTATAGTATCAGCCAGATTCAAACTCATGATTTTCGTCGCGTCGGGCTTTACAAAACGTAATAGGTGATACATTACTAACTTACAACGCTCTCAAAGAGAGCTGAAAATATTTAAAATAGAACTGAAAGCCACTTTCCGTATCAAATGTATTTAAATTCAATTAAATATTTAAAGGCAAAAATATTTAAACTTTTAGTAGATACTATATACGACCAATGTACACGTTAGTAAATGTAATAGTATCTACTTAAAGTCTTTGATATATTCCGTAATGGAGTCTATAGAAGGTTCAACCTTGACAAAGTGGTACTAACAATTCAAACAGACAGACGTCTATACGTATAAAAAATTTGTAACTCCGTATAAGGAACTAACAGCGAAGACAAAAAAGGGACGTTGAGCAAACATTTTAAGCGTCATGCTGATGGTCATTGCAACCGGGCGGCGGCGGCTGTGGGCGGACCGCACCAGTTTCAGCTGGTTTCTCTTGATGATACTAGTCTGCGGGTAATGCACGTTCATTAACCCAACCGTTATGATATATGCTCTTCGAAGAAGCTTATTGCTACTTACATTTTTAAAAGTTGTCTCATTTCAAAATTACCTAATCATTTGCTATGGGGGGGGGGGGGGGGACGGATTGTTAGTGATGGAGACTGAGAATCCCATTGCTAGCCATAAACCCAACCAGGTCAACCTCCTCGCGATTCCCCCTGGAAACTATCATGGTTAATTCCTGATGAATTCATCATGATAGGCCTGTTTTCATTCTCATCTATCACCCTTCACTGGTGTGCCAGCGTATCCCGATAGCGCAGGTGGGTGATGAATAAAGCAGGCCAGTTAGCCCATCGTGACGATTTCCGCTAGAATTTACCATGGTAAATTCAAAGTAAATGGTTTCCAGAGGAATCACGTGGAGATCGACCTGATAAGGGTGTATTGCTGGCAATGGGCCAGTTAAACCTCATTAATAACAATCCCTTCCCCCCCCCCCCCACCCCCTCATCTATCACTGGTGCCCCGCTAGCGTATACTGATAGCGTAGACGTAAGTTACCATTTCATTTTCACACATTAAAAAAAAAAGTTGCTGATGTGGTAAAAAAGATTGGTAGTAATAGGAATTAACAACCCCATTACTAATACATACCTTATTAGGTCGGCCTCCACGCGGTTCCCCTTAGAAACTATTGCGATTGATTTATTGTTGAATTACTTATGATAGGCCTACCGACCTGCTTCATCCTCACCTATCTTTCATTCTCATTAGTGCCTCGCTGGTGTATACCGTTAGGACAGGCGAGTTTACCATTCCATTATCATCCATTAAAAACATTTTTTTCTGGGATAAATTAATTGCGTGGCTGTAAAATGATGCAATTACTTGCATTCTATCATGCCATATGTGTTGTAAGTTTATCTATAGGGATCAGTTAAGAATCATCATATCAGCTGGTAACTATCCACTGCTGTGCTGCCTCTTGCCGTAAGGAACGATTCCAAGACACCTGCATTAAAAAAAAATCTCAAATGCACTGTAGAGTCAATGGTTTTTTTTTATGAATGATAATGGAATGGCAACCCCGCCCGCGTTAACAGTATACACTGGCGGGGCACCAGTGAAGGATGAAGGTGAGAATGAAAAGCCAGGACATTTAGCCCATCGTGGTATATACGACTGGGATTCAGCATGATGGTTTCCAGGGGGAACCGCGAGGAGGTCGACCTGGTTGGGTATATTGCTAGCAATAGGATTCTCAGTCTCCATTACTAACAATCCCTTTCCCCCCATCTGATGCGGATTAATGGGCGATGAGTTATCATTGAGTTTTACGATTTACAGGTTGAACAGTTGATGGAGTCGATAGAAAAATTTGGAGGTTGAGAGTTTATGAAGTATATATATATTTATATAGGCGTTTATTTATTTTATATTTATAAAGATATATATATATATATATATATATATATATATATATATATATATATATATATATATATATATATATATATATATATATATATATATAAATAAATATGTATTTATATCTACAGGTCTTAACCTATTACAGATACCAGCTCCTCACAGTAGTTGCATAAGGTCATTTAGTGCCCTTTTAGGACACCTTTAAATGGAGTCTAAATGGAGAGTGGAGATACAATGTATTCATGTAACCAATATGGTTTATTGTTATTTAGGTAACTACGATTACTAGAATAGTATTATATTATCTGTGCTATGATTAATCACCTTTTCTTGGTGATAAGAAAATTCCATTATTATGCTCATAAAATTTCTTGTTTCTATAGAAACCAGCAGATCTACTCTTGAATCAAATCTTTTGCCAAGGGCAATTTTATACTGCACTCATGAAACAACAGTTAGGAATTAAGTTATACTAGTATTAGATTTTGAGAGTGTGTAACATCTCAATTTAAATTTATTGGAATTTATTTCTATAGTAACACCACCGGTATTAATATATATTGTTTCAATTATTCAGAAAATTTATAAACCTAAATAATTCACTATAAAATGAAAATGCCTCATGGTTGCACAAGATTTATTGTAATCCTGTACACATTTTTAACACTTAGCCTATAAAAGGTGGTCAGCCCACTTTACTTGAGTGGAATAAACCGGGAGCTGTGAGTGGCACCAATACCAGGCCGACCGTGCTTAACAGGCTTATATGTCACGGAAAACTCGCCCAGATAGTGACCAATCATCTCCGGCTTAATTTCAACCTGAAAAAAATTATATAATAAAATTAATTTTGGTATAGTTAATAACATTAATTTGTTTTATTCACTGATGCTGTAAACTGGCCCTTAGACCAAACATATATGGAAATATCCATATTGTATGCAATTGAATTAGCAAAGCTAATTTTTAATTTATTTAGTTACTCTTACTGATTTAATTTTTAATGCACAGAAAAATACTATGTACATTTGACAGACATAAAACTAGACAGTGTTCTCTACCAATCAACCATTGAACAAACCAGAAATAAGACATTTGATCTTGTTACTTTCACACTATATATTGTTAATTATTACAGCTGTAAGCTTCCCTAAAATAATAAATAAAATTTTATTCTGTTCTGCTCTGTTCACAAGTGCCAACCAGTACCAGTAGTATTTATTAATGTTTTTGATTTATTACTTGATTATAGCTGAATTAAGTAATTTATATAAAATATAGCAAAGGTCTCAAAAGAACATGTGACATTTTATTCCAATATTATTAATTAGGATAAATACTAATTACAAATGACGCACATAAATATGAATCTTGGAGAAAAAGGTCAGTAAATTACACACAAATTTCATTTAAAAAAATATTATGATATACAAACCTGGTTGAATGTTTTGCCATTATATATGCCGACAATTGAACCAACCATTTCTGGGACAATGATCATATTGCGGAGATGAGTTTTGACAATCTCTGGCTTCTCATTTGGGGGTGCTTCTTTCTTTGCACGACGTAGTTTCTTAACAAGCGCCATTGGTTTACGTTTAAGACCACGGGCAAATCGTCGCCGCGCTCGGGCATGCATCAACTCCATAAGCTGCTCACTAAAATTTTGTTAATTTTAGGTTATTTTCCAAATTTAAATTATTAACCGACATGGATCACAAGACCTAATGCTAATTTTAAGAAATTATCTAGCAGTTAAACAAATACAGGTTGCATACCTGTATTATTATTTATTTATTAATTGAAAAAACCTGAAAATATAAAGTATCCAGACGTGTAATATTGTGTTATAGAAAATTTTAAAGTAATACTAGTGTACATGTATGTATTATACTATATTTTGAACTACTTACTTAGGCATATCCAGAAGTTGATCAAGATCAACTCCTCGGAAGGTAAACTTCCTAAAGGTACGCTTCTTTTTGAGAGTTTCATCAACCTGAAATAGAAAAAACAAATACTCATTTATAAAAAATATGTATGTAACTACATATTATAATATCACAACAATCAATTCACAAATCAAATTTCTTGATTAAGAACTTGATGTACTGTATTTTAACAGATTTAATTAAAAATAAATAATTTACAAACCTCTGCCATGTTTGCGTTTTGTTTTGCAGAAACGAAAAGAAATAATAGTTGTCAAACTTGACACTGACATATTCTAAGTTTTTAAAATGGCACAATCATAGACAATGGTGGATTCTGAGATGTCATTTCCTAAACCTTTTTCTAAAGTTAAAATGTCTTTAAACTTAGTCTCTAATCTGTAGTTAAAATTCCAATTATAAATCACAATGAAATCTTTAATGTAAAAACCAATACAGACTAATTTTCTAATAGATTTAAGTCAAAGATATTATAATTTTAGTTTATAATAGTTCAACAAACAGTAATGACAGATATTATAAAATTAAGCTAAAGAAATAATAATTAATTGAAGTAAAAAGATAAATTAGAGAAAAGCACCTTAGAATTCAGGCTTCAATGAAACCTATTTTTCCTGTTCAATGAGAGATATCAAATGGAAATTTTAAATTTAGAGATAGATTTAAAAGTCTGGTGTCTTTGAATTCTGTAATCATTAATATTATCTAAAAGTAAGTAGCAAATAAACGAATGTGCTGCCTCTGCTGAATGATTTAGAAACTAAAATTATTGTTACTTTTTAATGGATGATAATGGAATGGTAGCCCTACCCACGCTATCGGTATACACCGGCGGGGATCCAGTGAAGGATGATAGGTGAGGATGAAGTAGGTCAGTTAGCCCATCGTGACGAATTCAACAATAATTGTTCACAATGGTTTCCAGGGGGAACCACGTGGAGGTCGACCTAATAAGGCATATTGCTAGCAATGGGGCTGTCAAACTCCATTGCTAACAATCCCAATCCCCATCCACAGTATTAAAGCTCCATCAGAATAAAGGTAACAATTAGTAAAATCGCGCATCACTAACTCCCGCTCGTTTAGCAAAACTTGCTCTTTGAGCAAAACTTCGTATAGAAGAGAATGATATCTGTGAATATGAAAGATGTGAGTGATTTAAATCATATATTTTTTTCCTGCTCCTTATATGAGCATTCCTCACTCATTAAATCTCTTATTCTTTTTCTTACATCCATATTATGCCTGTTAGCTCATTGTAAAATAATTTAGTGAAGTGGACCACCAGTCCCAGGGGGAAAAGGGATTTAGTAATGGGGATTAGTAGTCCCATTGCTAGCAATATACCCTGTCAACATCCTCATGATTCTCCCTGGAAATCATCGTGATTGATTTATTGTTAAATACGTCATGGTGGACTAACTGACCTGCTTCATCCTCACTTATCATCCCTCACTGGTACCCTGCCAGTGTATACTGATAGCACAGGCAGGGTTACCAATTCATTATCATCCATTAAAAAACACTACCAGTTCCATTATTCGCAATATACCCTGTCAAGTCAACCTACATGTAGTCCCTCCTGAAAACCATCGTGCTAAATTTCAAGTGTATTCATCATGATGGGCTAACTGACCTGCCTTTTCATTATTACCTTTACTAGTGCCTCGCCAGCATGTAATGTTATTGTGAGCAGAGCTACCATTCTATTATTATCCTTAAAAAAAACCCTTTAATCTATAACTCCTTAGCTTTTTTTATTATATCAAACTAAAACTGTCATGAATACCAAAATCCCTACTGTTTGTTTTTAATATTACATCTCATTTCCCATTTGTTAATGACATAATAAACAACCCTTGCCCTTTGCCAATATTATGAAAAAAAAAAAAGAGATAAACATGGAACTGACTAAATCAAATAATTTTTAAATGATCAAATTTTAGATGCACTAATAAAAAGGGATAATCGTGAAAGCAGACAAATGGAACACCAGAAACACAACACACCATAACAATTTCATCGAGTCATTCATTATATGAAACCTATAATATGAAAAGATATTTATTTACAAAATTATTTATTTAAGTTTGATTTACACAATCACTTGTAGATCTTAAAAGTTTAGATAATCTTTTACCAATCAATTTAGGGTACATTTTTGTTTTCAATAAAAACTCTTTTGACTGATGTGTTACTGCACCATTATCTAATTGATATTTACATAATACATGTAAAGGCTTGATAAGTTGTTCTCTATAGGTGTAGTCTCCCTCAAGTTGTGAGAGTGCCTCGGCAGCTGTCTCCAGCGTACTTAAACAGCCTTCTGTTGGCTGTGTTCTTATTATATAACTACTTGTAATATGAGTCAGAAGCTTTACTTGTTTGATATTATGTAGTATTGGACTAGATGTGTATATAGCTTTTGCTTGTGGCCATGTTCCATCTATCAATATAAGATTATAAGATTCAGAGTCATTCTCCAAATCTCTTATATCAATAGCTGTTTTACTTGGGTATAATAAAACTGTATTTGGTTGAGTTAGAATACTCTCTAAGTTTTCATGTCTAGGTTGCGGGAATTTCTTCCCTTTATATATAAGGCACTTGTTTTGTGTTAAACCCAATTGCAACATTGGTGCAGTTCGTAAACACCTCTTCTCTTCAGCAGGATGTTGCAGTATTATAACTCTACTCCGAGGGTTTAATTTTTCTGGAGGTAATGCAGAACACCAACAAACTATCATAGGTCTTCTGTAACAGATAATGATTGATATTTAGACATATTAAAAATTTCTTATTATGCTCATCAGATAATTAAAGACAATATGTTTATCACCATAAAATGTAATAACAATTTTAGAATTATAACGCGATTTTTTTATAATGAAGTGTAATACTTGCTTGCAGTTCGTACAAACTTCTCGCATCACAGGTGGATCTGGTGGTATATTTGCTAAGTCTTCCCATACTTCTAACTCGTCCATTATACAATTTTTATAACTATAATAATGAAAACAGTTATGAATATTATTATAAAATAAATGTAATTCAAGAAAAAATATCAGAAACTAAGTAAAAAAAAAAATGAAATAGACAAAAATTAATATTTCATAATAACATTCATAATAACATTCATTTGGAAGATAAAATCAAGTGTCAAAGTATCATAGAGAAAGTATCACAGATTATAGAAATTATGGGAAAGTCACAGTTCAAAAGTCACTTAGATAGTTAATGTCGGCATTATCCTTGTTTTAGTGAAATTAGAAAATTAATTTATACAACCACCTGTATCAACAAAATTAATACTCTGATGACTATTTATAATTATGATATCGATAAGTAGTATAACAGATCTAGTGACTATATAATATAAAATTTCAACAAGGTACAAAGGAATTTAGGAACAAGAATTACATAGAAGGAATGATAAAATAAATCTATAATTAACTATTTTTTGGTCTATGGTAGTAATGCTACTATTTTTATAAATTGGTTTTTGTTCCATCACCATCATCTCAAACATTATTTGTTTATTGCTGAACATAGGCTTCGCACGTAGATTACCAAAAGAAACGGTCCTCGGCCACCTGCATCCACTCTTTTCAATACAATTGATGTCGTCACTTCATCTAGTCGGGGGTCGTCCTACACTGCATTTGTCCATATGGAGTTGCCAATCAAGAACCTTTCTTCCCTATCGGTTGTCGGTTTTTGGAGCTATGTGATCAGCCCATTGCCACTTCAATTTGCTTATCCTTCGACTTTGACCATGACTGGTTCTTTTGGAAATATATACATTTCGGAGATGCCCTCTTCATTGTTTGTTGAGTAATTTGAATCTTTTGCATACGGGCAACCGTGTAAGACTATATTTCGGTTCCATAAGTCATAACTAGCAATACGCACAAATTAAAAATCTTTGCTTTCAAACATTGAGGTAATATAGATTAGAAAATGTGGTGTAGTTTTTTAAATGCTGAACGCTATAAGAGGTTAAATAATTTTACTTTATTAATCGTACATGCAAAAAATTGCATGTACTAAGTTAATTAGTTGCGTCACCGTTTCTGTCTTAATGTCCTTTGTTTGTTATTTAGTATGTAAATTCATCGCGCAGTGTTAAAATGCAGTGTAGGACGACACCCCACTAGATGGAGTGACGACCTCAAATACATTGCAGAGAATCAATGGATACAGGTGGCTTGGGATCGTTTCTTATGGCAGTCTATGTGGGAGGCCTATGTTCAACAGTGGACAGATAATGACTGAGATGATACTCATGATGCATTTTTTTCTAACCGTGTAATGCTGTTGGTCGCTGATGGCCTTTACAACTTCACCAAACGCGTGTGAGCAGGGGCGAGTGCAGTTGGCACACCAAGTTCGCAAGAGGGGAGCGACAAAGGGGTCAGCTCTTTATTTATGAACTGCAGCGTGCGCCCAAGGGTGCCTAAGTGGCTCGAACCTCGGCTTTAGCCGCCACACTTCGACTCCCGTTGAGGGACGGCTGGACCGAGGACCGGTGGATCGATCGGGGGAATGAGGAAATGTCGTGGGCAGCGTACTTTCAGGCGTATAGCGAATGTTCCGCGTACGCGAACCGAGTGTGAGGAGTCTTCGTCCTCACCGGCGAGGACGGTGTGTGCGGTATGTAGGTGTATCGTTTGCAGACGGGAGTTCCGCAGTAGAGACGAGAGACGCGTTTGCCTTTATTATGGAATCGTCGGGGTCTAAGAGTGCATGCCACGAGCGACAACATCTGAATATTACGTTCTCTCTAGGGGTGTACGATCCCGCTTTTACTACTAGCAGGTTCGGGTGGGATTCTGCTGCAGCGAAGTAGCGTCGAGAAGCTTTCTTCATGTATTGCTTGATCGTGGGGATTTTGAGGTCGCGTTAAATGTCCGCGTTGCGTACGTATCACGGGGCGTCCGTACTACGCCGTAGACATTTACTTTGCAACATCTGGAGGCACTGCAAAAGGGACGGAGCGGAATGGGCGAAGACGACGCTAACGTACATTATCAACCTTGTAGAGCGCCAGCTTCGCGTTGAGCGATAACTTACTGCGTTTGTTCATAAACGGATGGAGGCGACCCAGTATAAAACTGGCTTTCGCCCAGGATAGTCCATCCTGAGATGGGGTGCAAACGTCTTTTTCGAATCGAGCGTGACATTGAGGTAGTTAGCCCTCTTGACCCAGGGAATGGGTGTATTGAACATTTTAATCTGAGAAGGAGGGGACAAATTCCGATTTACCGTAAAGAACACGGCGGCACTTTTGTCGGGATCGACTTCTATGCGCCACTTTCTGAACCGGCTCATGATGTAAATTCATATTTATGTATATAAACTAGCCCGCTACGAATTTATAAAGATAGCAACTGATGGTGTATCTTTCATCCTTTTTTTACTAATTATATTTGTATAAGAAAAAAGAAGGCAGCCATATGATTTACAATTTTTATTTTATTATTCCTTCTATGTAATTCCTTGTTCTTAGATGAACACGGGAGACGGGAGAACATAGATTAAAGATAACACCTGCAGCACAGCTCTAAAAAGGCGGGAGTTATAAACAAAAGAAATTACATTTTTGGGTATTTAAGTGTAATTTAAATTAAGCGGTAGCATCTGTTAAATATGTAATCAATAAGAAATATATATAACTTGTTTGTTTTCAAATTTGACAGTCATTTGTTGTCACACTTCAGCAAGTTTCGATGTAGACATTATTTAATGAACCATCACCCCGCCATCTTACGGCACACCAACTGTTTATTAATCTGTAAAATTTATAAATTGTTTATATTACGTAATTTTAGATGGCGATCCTGTAAATATACCTAATCTAATGCTTTTAAATGTTTCTTTAGAATTAGTTTGTTTTTCAGAAATATTGAATCCTTTTAAAATTTATTTAGGTCCGAAAACTATTTTTTAATTATATTTTAGCCTTTAGGTGAAACACTTAATATGATAATCAATTTATAAGCGGTTTATGTGACGACGCCATTTTGCGCCACAATCCATACATAAATGTATATGTGAAAATAATAAATGTAGTATATCCCATTCACATACTACAATTTTATCGTATGTGGAAAGGAGAAGGCATCTAAATCCCCTGACTTTCACCCCAGGTATGTATATGTATACATTACGAGAATTTTTATACGAATGATTTGTAAACATGGAGGCCAAGTGTTATTCAGTAGTGTAAAGTAAATTTACGACCTAACTTTATAATAGATTTCTGTGTTTTGATCTGGTTAGTAAGATATAATTTTATTAAAATATAGACAGTAATTTTTTATTAGATCGTTCGCTTTACGTCCCAAAATATAAGAAAAAAATGTAAACGTATGCACTTATTTGGCGCCAATAGCCTAAAAAACCGTTATGCCTAGTAGTAATCACGGCCAAAAACGTTAAATTTGATATTTTATTGTATGATCATTTACTGACAATAATCAATTTTGTTATTGCGAAGTAAAATTATCGTCTTAAAGTTATTGTTCTTCTTGATAGAAAACTGGTCCTGCGAGTGTCGTCAGATCTGTCATTTAACAAATTACTCCCTACCGTAATTAGATATTCTCGAATTGCTTTTTATATAAAAAAAAAATTATTTGTTATATTATTGCTTTTCAGTCTGCTGCTATGATCGTAGAGAATCCATAATTGAAATGAAGAAATTTATACTTTTACATTTGGGAACATCTTGACCAACCTTGAAGTGAGTACTTTAAACACATTATTCATACCAATTTAAAGCGTCATTAAAGCTAAATTTGGCTAGGCGAATATAATTATGTCAATTTCAGTATAAGACTAATTTGACAACAAGTTTAGAATACAAGATTATGCATTTCAAATCACTATCTAATAGTTTTACATAAATGCAATCGTAAGTAGTAGTTTTTTGCATGACTAGTTCAAGGCTGTATCAAGTTCAAGATTAATTTTACAAGGTTCATTTATGTAATTTATTTGTTGTTATGAGTATTTTTTTGTTTATTTCAGCAATGGGCACAGAGTTGCCAAAAACCCATGATTCAAGTGGTACAGATTCAAACAGTGATTCTGAGGTCAGTATTATTTTAATTTTAATTGTGTAAAATAAAATCATGGAAGTATTATTATTAATTATTCATAACTATTCATATAAGTGTAGATACTATCTTTGCTTGTGTATTTAAAGGACCATTATTATTCAATTATTTAAAGTGCATTCTAACTTCCTATAACATATAGTGACAAGCTCAAAAGTAGTACATTCAGGTGTTACTCTGAATAATATTTTGTGGTATAATGTTAGGACTAATGGTTACATTATAAAGTAATTAGTAAAATTAAATAAACAATTGTAGTTATAATTGTTAATAATTATCTTGTAGTAATAATTACACAAACATGGAACAGATTCCAATACTTAATGTTACTATTGTTGCTGTTTACTGGGGTTTAAAAAGAATTTAGTTTTAGTTCAAATTTCTACTATTGTATTAAATTATGTTGGCGGGTAGGTACTATTTAACTCAAATAAAATTGCAGTGATTGCTAAACATAAGTATGTGTAAGAATTAATAATATTAAATCAATAAAGATAATAATAATTTATATTACCTATACCCTTTTCATGGAATCTGAACTTTGGCTGTTTCTACTAGGGGTTATTTAACCATCTTTATTTTAGAGTGTTTTCCAGTATAATAATAATTATTATTATTACAAGTTATTGATACCTATATTAGAATTCAAATTCTTGAATAATTATTATGTTGTATTTTGCCATGAAACATGGGTAGTGGGATGTATACAATAATAATAATTAAATACTACTTCTAATATAATAAATGTGAAAGTTGTAAAGATATTGTATGTTTGTATGCATGCTTAAATTCAGGCTCAAAAAATTTTGATGAAATTTCGAAGATGTGTTTAAGTAACCTACATATGTTCTATCCTATCTTAAAATATAGGATACTTTATATATGAATAGCTAGTTAATTGTATACTTTAATCTATAATTTTTTCATTCAATTATGTTATAGAATAGCAGCACCAGTGATTCATCTGGGAGCAACTGGGAGTGCTCTAGCAACAAGCAGA